TAGGTTGTTTGGGGTATCATGAAAATCATCCATGTGATCATAGCACGTCTAGTTTGACATAACCAGGAAAGATGGTTCAAACTTTGGATTGACATAATATTAGATTTCATAATTTTCTTGCTAACATTGATAAATTGGTAAAAAAAATTATCTGTAATCATCTTGAGTTGCTATTAGTGTTGTTTCTTATCAAGCTAGCTCATAACTAAAGTCACTAAAGATGCCTTATTAGGGAAAATACAACAGAATAATCAAGTAATAGCACACTACTACACTATCATTGATTGCAACCTTAAATAGTGGATTAAGCTCCTTGGCTAAATGAAGAAAAACAGTAGGTACTCGCTTTGTTTCAAATGTTAAGTTGTTTTAGTTTTGTAAGTCAAACTTGTCTAATGTTGATCAAGTTTATAGAAAAAATATTAGCATCTACAATATCAAATAAATACATATCAAAATATATTTCACGGTGTATCTAATGAACCTTGTTTTATGTTGTAGATGTTTGTGCATTCTATAAACTTGGTCAAAGTTAGATAAATTAGACTTAGGACAAAACTAAAATGACTTACAATTTGAAATGGACCGAGTAATAAATCACTTTCAAGCCTTAAAATAACAGTATTATGCATTAATGCTACAGTATCAAATTATCTAAAAGGCTAAAACTATTGTGACAGATTACATAATGTAAACATGCCATAGGAGCAGTCAAGGTATGGGGAAAGACAATAAGAGGCACGTTGCTATTTCGAACATGTTAACAAATCAGGTCATGTACAAGTATAAACAAGAGAAATTTCTTGCATGTTGAACCCCTATTTGTATTAACTATTAAGAGGGCTCCAAGAATCAGTAAATCCAAGGGATTTGAATCCATGTACACGTATGCTAGGGAGCAGGGTCGTTCTTCCATTTCACAAAACGATTGTAAATTTCCAGCCGGAACAGTATTTTTCTCTCACACAAACCAGCCAGCAGTACTTCTTCACGAACCAGCAACGAAACGAACCAGCCAACCGAACAGGTTGGTGCAGTTTAAAAAAATAGCATGTAGGAGTGCAGAATTAAATAACAATAATAATAATGACATGTATTGTAATTTCTCACCGAAGCATTGAGAAGCATGGCCAGATGTCCCTTGCTTGAGCTTGCTTCCTTCTTGCCCAAAGGATCCAAATCTGTTGTTCCCCTGACTAGAGCATTCAACGGCTTCTCTCCTCCTCTTTCCACCTTCTCCGTCTTGTTGGGGACCAATACTAGGGTACCCGAAGAGGAGGGGCTAATGGTCATCAACATTAGTTCATCCGAGCAGTCAAGAGCATGACTATGGCTCCAACCGGCCCCCAGGTGCGCGGGCTCCACCTCGACCGACCTCTGGGGAGCCCCTGGGGGCGGGCTCCGCCTCGCCCGACACCGAGACCGTGGGCTCCGCCTCGCCCGATCCCGAGGCCACGGGCTCCGTCTCGCCCGACCCCTCGGGTGCGGTGAAAGGTCCTTGTTGGTTTTGGTAATTGAGTGACAACCTAGGTGGACTAATTGTGTTTATGTGAGATACACAGGTGATTAGTCCACAGGTACATATGTATGAGCAACATATGCCATGGAGGTAAAAATGGCTTGGAGATGTTGCAAAGCTCACACATATGATGATGAAGGAGCTTATTGCACATGAGACATGACATTGAGTCATGTGATCAAGGTGGAGAAGATCAAGATAAGACTTGGCTTGATGGACCGGTTGCAAGCGTGAAGGGCAAGTCAAAGGCTTTGGAGTGATGGACCGCGTGGCGGTGAAGCTTGAGCAAGACTTGACGCCGATGGACGATAGCAACGGTGAAGAGCAAGTAGAGTCAAGATCGATGAACCAATATGATCATGTGATGATATGAAGTGGATCATATCATTGTTGATCGTGTTGGTGCATGTGTTGCATCGACATTGAAGGAGATGGAATGGAATGCGCAAGACAAAGGTATAACCTAGGGCATTTCATTTCACCGGTCATAGGTGTGTAGAGAAGTTTATGACCGGGTTTAGGATAGATGGCCGTACTATCAAGAGGGGCAAACTTGTTTGCATATCGGTCATCTAGTGCCACTCGAGTGATCTAACTTTGCATTGTCGCTAGGATCGAGTGGCGTGGCAAGTTGAGTGGCTAACATCCTTTGGGAAATGATTGTGAAAATGCTAACACACATACACATGGTGGTGTACACTTGGTGGTGTTGGCACATTTACAAAGGAGGTGGTGTTTGTAGGGGTGATTCGGCGCTTTCGGGAAAATAGAATGCCTATTTTCTATTGCGCCGGATACAAGTTCTTGTGGTTAGCACATTGGAGCAAGGGTGATGAAGTTAGGAGTGAAAACGAGTTAGTCGCGAAGATGCTGGCGTCGGTCAACTGACCGAACGCTGGATCTGAATGCACCGGACGCTGGCAGGCTACGTCCGATCAGGCTGACGTACGATGACGTAGAAGCTGGAGTGTGACCGGACGCTGGCTACGTCCGATCAAGTGTGACCGGACGCGTCCGGTCGAGGTCGGTACCTTACTGGAAACGACCGGACGCTGGGGGTTCAGCGTCCGGTCAGTTGAAAGCTGCTGCGCCCGATCAGGTCAAGTGACCGTTGGAATCAGGACACGTGGCCGTCTGCGGGCGACCGGACGTGGAGGTCCAGCGTTCGGTCAACACGACCGGAGCGTCCGGTCGGCCCGACCGTTGCCCAGTGAAGGGGTAACGGCTAGTTTAGCCCTTGGGGCTATAAATAGAAGTGGCCCTCGGCCATGGCTGGTGCTGAGCACCTCAAGGGACTTAGTGTCCATGCTTATGAGTGCTTGGAAGCCCTCCATCACACATATACTTGATAGTGATCATTCGATTGTGTGAGTGAGCGATTCTAGTGCGATTGCATCGTGAGGTTGCATCGAGTGGCACTAGGTGGTCGTGTTGCAAGCCAGTGGTGCTTGTTACTCTTGGAGGTTGCCACCTCCTAGACGGCTTGGTGGTGGTCTCCGTCGAAGCCCGCAAGAAGCTTGTGCGGCGCTCCGGAGAAGTGCTTGTGAGGGGTACTTGTGCTCGCCCCGCGGGAGTCGCAAAGAGCAACTTTAGTAAAGCGTGTCATTGAGCTACCCTCACTCAAGGGGTAGGTTCTTGCGGTGCCCGATGTGCGGGCTTAGCGGGTGATGCTAATTAGCCGCCGAACCACCAAGTGAGCGGTCGACACAACGGGGACTAGCGTGTTGGCAAACACGTGAACCTCGGGAGAAAAATCATCGTGTCAACCTTGTTCTTCCCGTTGGTTTGCATCCCCATTACACAAGCTTGCAATTACTTTTATACATATTAAGCTTGTGTAGTTGCTCTTGTAATTAGTTAGCTTGTGTAGCTTACTAGTTACCTTCTTACTTGTGTAGCATAGAAGTAGCTCCCTTGCGTGGCTAATTTGGTTTTAGTAACCTTGTTAGTCACATTGCTTAGTTTGTGTAGCTAAGTATTTGCGCTCTCTAATTAGGCATTGGTTGCCTTGTTATTGAGCTTTGCTAGTGAGCTTAGTTGGCTTTGTGCTTTTGCTTACTAGCATGTGTAGGAGCTCCCTTGTTGCTTAAAGTACTAGTGGCATATGTTTGTGTGACCTTGCTCCTAGAATTGTTTAGGAGAGCTCTAGCTAGCCTGGCACCTTAGTTGCTTTATTAGTATCTTTGCAAGGTGCTAGTGAACATATATAGAGGGGTGTAGTCTTGGCTAGACCGATTGTTTTAATTCCGCATTTATATCGGTTAGCCGACGCGATTAATTTTAGAAAAGACTATTCACCCCCCCTCTAGTCTGCCATCTCGACCCTTCATGCGGGCTCCGTTTCATTCGACGGGGTCCCATACCGTCGTCAACCACTCCAGGTCCAGGCGTATAGGCCTGGGTAAAAACTCTGACTCCAGGGAAGAGACCGGCACACCCTGATGTAACCCGCGGCCACAACGAGCCATACCCGAGGATTCACATCAGGAACAGCGTCAGGCGGACCGGTGCTGTTCTGCCTAACCCTCGTACGAACACTGACAGGCGCATCAATTCATCGCGACGTCCACCAGGACGGAGTGGAGCGCCATGACCAGCAGACGACGCGTGCACATGGCACCAGTGACGAACAGGGCCACGACATGGAGCCATCCCTGTTGACATTTACAGGGTCGGTGGGACCCGCATGAAGGACAAGAAGGACCCAGCGATCCTAAAGGACTTCCTCTCTCTCTCTCGTTCTTCTCCTTTTCTCTGTTGTAACCCGTGCTTTCCCTTGGCCTATAAAAGGGAAAGCAGGGCGCCCCATGAAGGGGATCGATTCAGGCCAGACCCGATCGAACCATCATGAACACATCGAACCTCGAACCGATCGGAACACAACACAAACACACGACTGAGCAGCAACCAAGCTCTCGGCACCCGTGCATTCCTTCCATCAGAGACTTGGGATCTGTCCCTCTCTGCCCGTTTGTAACCCCTACTGCAAACTTTCAGTGCTAGTAACACGAGTAGTAGCGACGAACTGGATGTAGGGACATTCTGCCCGAACTAGTATAAACCCCGTGTCCTCTAAGCACACCATCCGAGCCAGACGCGCAATACTAGAAATTTACTCGTTAGTGGTAACTCGAAACACCGACACGTCTATTAGGCAAGGCACCACATAGACATGACAAGAAAAGAATGGTATGGAATCAGTGGTGACGGGCACAAGAAAACCTATGCTCCCTGCTTGAAACATGATAACATTTCACAACAAATGGGAATGACATGGTGTTACCTCATAATACACCGGTTTGTTAACAATCTGAATATCTGATCGAGGCCCCACGTCATCATCATCCTCTTTGCTCACCTCTTCCTCCTTCACCTTTTTAAGCAAGAAGAAGATGCGTTACAAAAATCATAAGGCAAAGAAAGGGTTGGTATCAGGTGTTTAGAACAACATTTCATAAGAGATGGAAATAGCATGATTTTACTAAAGTAACTCAAAGACCTTCATAATCGGCGAATCCGAGTCAACCCCATCCTCTGTGACTGACGCAGGGATGGCCTCCTCTTCATCATCCTTTTCCTCCATACCAATATCGTCCTCCCCCGACTGCCTAGACAAAGGATTGTCCACTTCATCATCCTCTTCCTCTTCCCCTTCCTCTTCCCCTTCCTCCTCCTCCTCCTTGCTATCGTCGTCATCCTCAGCATCGCTATGATCTACAGATCCCTCCCCGATAGTTATTGAACAGTTCCCCATCTTGAACACCAATTTGCCTTCCACCTCGTGAGCATGCCGGAGGAAGAAGCGGTAGTCTTCATCGATGTCAGGTTGTGAGTCATACCACGTGGATTTCGCCACCGGTGGCGGCGTGTCCTCTTCCATGGGGACAACACCGCTGCGGACCTCGCCGTCGGGGCTCGCCTCTAGAGCCTTGCGCTTCACGCCGTGCGGGGCCTCACTCGTGGCCCAAGGGCTCTCCTCCGATGAGGGAGGGGCCCTTTGCCCCCCGCAATTAGAGCCCACGATGGGGGTCCCGGCATTGTGATCGAGGATGGGTTGCTCGTACCTGATGACCCGGGGAGGGGAGAAGGCGCCGTCCTCGGACGGGATCACGACCGTGTAGGCATCGCTGTCGAGGCGGATGTGACGGAGGAAGTAGAGATAGTCTTTGTCAACATCGGTGGCCTCTTGCGCGGACAGGCCGGCGGCGACGGAGGGAATGTAGGGTTCGGCCGATGGCGGCATGATCGGGGGTTTTCGGCCGTGGGCTGGTTTGGAAAGTGGGGTGGAGTCCGTCGGGAGCCCAGGAGACGCGGTGTGACTGTATCCGCGCCAGCGCCTCTTATATCGTGGGACCGACCTACAACGATTATTTGGCACAGTGATAGTCCCCACCCCCCAGTGGCGGTGGGTAGTCTGAGCCAGGTTCTAGGAGGCGTGATCGTGAAGACTGAAGAGTATCGGTGTCCAATCACGTTATGACTTATGGCCAATCTAATGTTCCCTCGTCCAATGATCATGATTTATTGAGACCGGATTCGTTAGCGGCTAATAGTTAGCTGGTTAATAGCTCTAAGATAAAATTAGTTAGCTAACTTTAAGTTCACAAACTATTAGTTGTGGATTGTTTGGATCCTACCAGCTAATAGGTGAATGAACTGTACTTTTACCGAGAATGCCACCGTCACATAATAGGTGGACAAATTGTACTTTTACCAAGAATGCCACCACCTCAGCAATCGTCTTCCCCATGAGAACCCACCGAAGGCCTCGTCCAAGGCTGCCCCAACCTGAGGCCTCGTCCAAGGTTGTAGCCGCCCAAAGAGCTACCCTAGGCTGCCGCCGCCCGAAGGTCCCCACCCGAGGTCACCGCAGCACGAGGAGCTCAAGACGGAGGCCCTATCCGAGGTCGCGGCCACACAAGAAGGTCCTGTCCAAGGTCACCACCACATGAGGAGATCTTGGTTGAGGCCTTGCCCGAGGCCTTGTCCGAGGCTACCGCGCCCGAGGAGTGCGGCGTGTTGTCGTGAGATTTGAGTTTCACAAGTGGTAGCACGGCCCCACGACCGCCAGCGCTCTACTCGCCACTGGCATCGTTGCCCAAGCGCTCATGGTGGATGGGCTACAACCCACGACGGAGCAGGCGCACACACAGGGGCAGGCGCAATTGTCATCGTTGAAGGGTCCCCGGTGCTACTAGAGTGGGTAAGGTTGGGAAGACAAGGGTAGAACGGTCTTTTGCTATTCTATTAGCTGTTGTTAGCTGGGTTAGAACAGCTAATAGAAAAAACCACTATTTTGGTACCTAGCTAATAATTACTTACTCTATTTGCTGCACCTATTTGGATCCGCCTAGCTAATAGTTAGCTATTAAAATTAGTTGAAGATGGATCCAAACAGGTGCAGCTAATAGAGCATGTAATTATTATCTAGGTACCAAAATAATGATTTTAATTATTAGCTATTAGCTAGGTGGATTTAAACAGGGCCTTAATTATTTTGACCCTGTTTGACCTGGTCAGAAGTCCTTGCTCTTCTGCGTGCTGTTGGCTGTTGCAGCGAGGGTTTATCACGATCTTTATTTAACTCACATGCATTGTTTTATGTTACTTTCTCAGTCCACAAGAGAATAAAATTTTAGGGCAATACAAATTAGATTATCTTGAGTTTGAGTAATTATAAATAAAAATATTAATATTTATAACATCAAATAAGTATTATCAGATTTTTCATACTATAATTATTTGATGTCATAAATATTAATATTTTTATCTATATATTTGGTTAAATTTTATAAATGTTAACTAAGAATACACCTAGAATTGTATTCTTTTGTGGATAGATAGTACTATCGTTAGTAGGGTCTTTTAAGAGCAACTCCAAGAGACTCTTTATATCATTACTAATTGTTAGGAATAGAGATTTTGGTGAAAAAATTTCCTCCAACAACTTCTTTAATTGGTTACCCAAATATAGTCATCTTTTTCGGATTTCTCGCTAGCCAAAGATAAAAAAACGAGAATAGCTCTCTAGAGTGCGCACAAGATATAAAATAACTGTTGGAAAGTAAAAATATGTAGAAAGCTTATGTAAATGACTCTCTAAATGGTGATTTAGAGAGTGAGCTTTAGAAAGACTTCTGGAGATTCTCTAACTATGACTCTTGTATTTTTTTAGTTTTTTCATAGCTTATTGTACTTTACTTTTCTCCAATGAATATGTCTCCTTTCCTTGCATATCAACTTCTTAATCTCTCTCTTTCCTTACATAGATTGGCATAAATATCTCTAAATAGTTGATCCTCTTAATTAGTTTTCTTGCATAGCTAATGGACTTCATTCGTTACTAAGCTTAGCAATGAATTAGCGCAAAATGGCATGGTTGCTTAACGTCCTGAAAATCTACGAGCCCTCGACAACTAGAGTAGCTATAACTAAGAAATTTAACAGCTAGCAACTACAACCATAGCAAGAAAAAACACGACCAAGGAGAGCCTCTCATTATAGGAATAGTGGAAGCTGGCTTCTAAAATCCACCTAAGGCTCTAACCATACTCTATGCATAGCTTATAGTCATCTTATAAAACCTAGAAAAACATAGATGAAATCTAGAATGCTAGGCAATCTAGCTTTTTTAGCTTCTAAACTTGAAAAGGCAATCCGGACCTTCACTTTTACAATAGCATTGGAATAAAAAACCGAAGCATGAGGGTCTTTTGGTACTTAAAAACATCTTATTTTAGCTTTCACAATCTATGGATCTAAACAACCTTCCAACCCAGCTTCTATAATCATCAATGGTGTACCCAAAGAAGACCTTTATATTCCTACTAGGTAGCGTGCCCATGCGTTGCTACGGGATAACTAACAATTTATACTTAAAACACACGGATAGCATGATAAGATAGCAATACTGTTAAATTAAATACCAACGTTAAAGTGATATTTAATCCAAAAAGCAAAGTTTATGAATTTAACACAGTCACGGAGTGCGCGGCGTCGCAGGCTCACAAACTCTAGAGCTTCCAGAGATGGGGTCGAATCCAAACTAGAGCCTCGTAATCCTGCATCTTTTCCTGGATGAGCTACACTTCTGATGCGCCGGTAGCAATATCAACGATCTCCAGTCGATGGACCAAGTCGTATGGATCCCCATATAATGGCTCAGACATGTAGATTTTGTTCTCCTTCTACTTGGATACACTTGTTTCATTGAAGCTTTCATTGAAATGTTTAGACACGAACGATTAATCGATCACCGATGTCCTCACCTGGACCACTCAGGCGTACGGTCGTGGAGGTTGCACTTGTAGATCGCGCTGCTGTAGGTGAAGCTCTGTGTCTCGTGGAACGTGCTCACCATGGCACCCACAATGTGCAGCTCACCGTTTGATTCCAAGTAGATACGGTGGCAGAGCCCCGTAGGTGGTGACAGCGATGGCAGCAGCGTCGCGGTTGGAGTAGCGCCGGCGGCATTGCTGCTGTAGATAGAGATTTCTCCAGTGCAGTCGATCACCAAGAACTTGTCTTGGTAGTGGACGATGGAGCCCACAGAGAACTCCAGTTTGGTGTTGAGCAGCGTCCATGCGCTGTCGACTCCAACCCGGCAGAACGCGACCTCCGTGGAGCACCCAAGCAATGAATAAATGAATGCACACAGTACCGTTAACATAATCAATAAAACGAATCAAGCTAAATTGAAAAAATAAAAAGAAACAAAATCATGACTTAAAGACTATACGCACGTCACTCACGATCACCTAGATTGGGAATGCCTGATGCCTTCATCTCAAGCTGCATCTTTTTCTGTCTCCATGCGAAACTAAAACAATCAATATTTTTTCCATCTCTGCCTGCATGCAAATAAAAAAGAGAGATATGTTAGGTACCTAGCCAAATTATGTGTCTTGTGCAAAGATGGTGAGTAGGACTCTAGCGAAGAAAACACTTTGTAGCTTCGACCACAGCGATTTATCAAGTACGGTATTTGTTAAACTAAACATCAGTTCAACCATTCAAGTGAACATGAGAACAAGATCTTTTTTTTTATTTCTTTTGAGCAAACCTATGATAGACAAATGTACACTCATTAACTAAAAATAATAATAACCTATGATAGATAAATGTACACTCATTAACTGAATAAATAATCAGACAAAGGCATAATCAGTGCCAAAAAGCAAAGTTCATTTCATGAGAGCAGGAGCAAGTCTAGATAGACAACCACATACATCTAAATTAGTACGATATTTGTTGGATATACATACGTTTGTTAGTTTTTTTTTGAGCAATTTTTGCATAAATGTATAGCCATGAATCTAGCTAAGCTTGAAAAGACAGTGATTGCAGTACATAAACCGGATGACCAACCTTGATAAACGTTCCAAAAAATGCGGGATATACAGTGTGCCCGTACGTTGTTACGGGACAACTAAATTTTTATATTAAAAATACACAGATCGCATAATAAAATAACAATACTATGAAATTAAATACCCACATTAAAATAACATTAATCGCAAGCTCACCGACTTTACTATATAGACATTTCCAAATTTTCGTTGACTCAGATAATTAACAAATAAGCAATGCCCCGCCACATTTTTGTTAACTATTCACTGTGTTTTTTTAAGAAAACATGTGATGGAGAGACATTGTTGGTTTTTAACTTTTTTTACATCATCACTAATCCAATTGAAGAGAGATGACCATAATTTTTTTAAGAAAACAATGTCTATGAGTTATCACATTCTCAGAAAGCTGAACTGGTTGTCATCTTCCTATTTTTGCCAGTAAAATTATCTAAGCTTTATATGTATAACCTGAAAACTGAACTGCTTGTCATCTTTCTATTTTTGCCAGTAAAATTATCTGAGCTTCATATTTATAACCTGGACTCAACATGGCCATGCCAAGACATAAAAAGTTACCTTAGTAACAGTATCATTATATTAAGCTCAATAACATGGCAGCTGATTGTCCTCTGCATCAAGCATCAGTGTATCAATGCCAACCATTGACTCATCATCTAGAGTTTACAAATGTAAGCCATGTCAATAAATTACAACAATTCAGGGCAAGTTCAGTGAGAAATCCCTCTTTTTCAAGATTTAACTTCAGTGAGAAATCATCATTCTTTTTCTTGCCTACCTACATTAGATTGTTCAAAAATAAACAAAGATCAATCCACAGACATTTTGCAGTGCAGAGATAACTTTGTGACCTAGCTTGGTGTTGCTGTTACGG